CCCCCCCCCCTCCTCCTCCTGTCCGCCCTCCCACGGGTTGGACGGAGCCGGCCTGCGCCCCGCACGGTCCTGCACTCCCACAAGGGGCCGGGCACAACAAAAGACGCGCGCGCGCAGAGGCCTGGACGGAGACGAAGGCGCGGGCCCTGGACGCCGGCATGCAGGGCGCCGCGCCTGTGGGCGCGGGCGCGCGCGGAGCCCCCGACGCTCCGGGGCTCCGACAAGTCGCCATCGTCGCCAGTTGTCGCTGCAGTGCCTGATGTCGACGCGCCGTCATCATGCCCTCTCAGCTTTCGGTGGCAACCCAGGGGAGCCTCCCATCCCATCCTGTCGGCTCTTGCCATCCGACGCTAGTCGACGCTAAGTCGACGCTAATCGCCTCAAAATCGATGCATATCGATGCTAACCGCCGTCAAATCGGCGCTATCTCATCCACTCCCAGACGCTAATCTACGCGAAAGACAAAATTAAGAGGGTATACCAGGCTCCCCCCCGAAACATTGCGCACAAACATGGAACGGCCGGTTCGGGGCCATTTTCTCGCCCTCCCCGTCTGGGAAGACTAGGCCGTGGACGCTTTATCCATGCCCCTGCTCACGCTCCTAGACGTGGAGAAAACATCAGAAACATACACTTTTGGAGGGACCCAGCGCGGATCCAAGGAATCCGCGCAGAGCGCCGAAAGTTTCTGTTTACGGCATTTTTTCTTCTTCGACCTCCGACCCCACGAGGGGGCCAGAGCGGCGGCACGTTTAGAAGTCTGGCCTACGGAGCCCTGCTTTTCCCCTTTGCCCCCTGCTCCCCCTAGCGCCCAGAGTGGGGGCCAGCAGCCTGGGTACTCGGCATCGCTCGAACGTCCATTCCCCGTGCATGCTTCGGCTTTGTGCGTGTATTTTCCCCGCCGGATGATCCAAACATCTCCTCGATGGTCCTCGCGGAGAAAACAGCGCACACGTCCGAGCGATGCCAAGGGTAGGGTTGAGTCGTGCGTGTCCCCCTGCAGGAGGATTTTGGAGGAAACAATAAAAATATGCACCCAATACTCAAAACGAGTCGAAATAGACGAAAAATCGTCAGCTGACTATTTTTCTAACTATTTTTGAACATTCCCCCTGTAGGGGAACAGGCCCGACTTCAGGGTAGGGGTCGAGCGCCGATCGTCGACACAGAAAGGGAAGGGGTGGGATGCTGACGGACTTGCGCACCCCCTTGGAGGCGCACCGCCGACCCGACCACGCAGCGCACAACACAAATCACCCTGTAGCAGATCGTTGCCCGAGCCGCATGGCCAGAAAGCGCCTGCCACTGAGCCTTAGGTCGGGCATGTTCTCCTACAGACGGAGCTTGGGCGACAAAATCAAAACAGTTGCAAAAGTGCTGAAAGGTATTCCAAAAGAATGGAAAATCGTCCCCCGACTATGCTTTAAAGATATGTTTGAACGCTGCCGCTGTAGAGGGACATGCCCGACTTAAACTGAGCTCATACTACAAAACTTCTGAGCGCGCGCGTCGCCCCTGAGGCTCCGACGCGCACGGTTAGGAAGTCTGCTGGGCCGATGCAGAAAGCGGGGGGGCACGGCAATGGCCGGGCGTTGGCGGGACTGGGTTGAGCGGGACCTGGCTTCAGGATGTGTACCGGGGGTTGCCCCCCCCCCCCCGCCCCATCATAAGCGTTTTCTTATGCAGCGTTTCGACAGAGGGCAGAAAGGGGGGGGGGCGGGGTGGGTCTGACTCTGGACTTCTGCTTAATGTGACTGTTTGCAGCAGTGCGCCTTATGGGGGAAGCTCCACCTGCTAGAAACAGGCGCCAAAAACAGCGAAGATCTCGGGGGGGGGGGACAGGGGAGGTGCGAGGGCCCGCGCCGACCGGCAAAACAATGCATAAGAGAACGATCACATGCCACCAAGTGGAGCTGCCGTCCCCCGAAGCACAAGCCCGCTGCGGCAGACCTGGTCCAGTGATCCTCGCCGATTTGGAAGGCTTCGGGGCCCAAACACTAACCAGCTCCCCTCGCCCGGGGCCCCAGCTGTAATCACACCCGAAACTCGCCATCGCTCGGACGTCCATTCCCCGCTCATGTTTCGGCTTCGTGCGTACATTTTTGTCCGCAAGATGATGCCAAAAAAAGCTCCCCGATGGTCCTAGCCGAAAAAAATGCACACGTGTCCGAGCGATGCCAAAGACGAGGGCGGGTAAGCGAATCAGCGGCATGCAGCTGGTTGGTTTTCCCCCAGCGCCGCCGAGCGCACGCGCATCGAGGAGACGCGCTCTGCGGCGGAGCTCCCACCGACTGCGTGCCGCCGATATCGTGGCCTACGTTGTCTTAGGTCGGGCATGTCCTCCTACAGGCAGATGTTGGAAGATTTTGTATTTAGAAAACGTTCCAAAATGATTCAAAAAATGAAAAAATCGCCCCGAGACTATTTTTGACTATTCTTGAACATTCCTCAATGTAGAAGGACATGCCCGACATAAACGTTGTGGAACACGCTGCCAGTCTCGGGCTCCACCAAGAGGGGGCGTCCCTGATGGGGGGGCCTGAATTCGATCCGCTGGCGCACCGGACTGCCGCAAACAGCTACCCCCCGCATGCACCGCCGATCGGCAACTCTCGGGAGCTGCCGGCGGCTGGGCGGCATCTGTCTTGGGCAGTTCGGTTGAAGACCCGGTCGAAGTCTCTCGCCCACACACACACACACACACACAAACACCCACACACACACACATACAGGGGGGGGACATCCCCCCTTTGCGGGATCCCGACATCCGAACAATTGATCTGGCCAACCCCTTGGGCCATGCCTTCGGTCAGGCACGTCCTCTTCCAGGCGGATTTTGGACGAGAATATTTATATATATATATATATATATATATATATATATATATACAATATCAAAAAATGCCAGAACATTTGTCCCCAAATTATTGTTGGACTATGTTTGATTATCCATCATGTACAAGGACACGCCCGACGTAAGCCAAGCCTCTGGCCAACCCTGGAGAACATCCCGCCAAGAACCCCCTCTGGCCCACCCTGGCCACGGGGCGCCTCGCCCAAGACACGGGAAGTGCCCTCGCCGCCCCAAATATCCGCCGCTCCCTCGTCCGCTCCATGAGAGAGAGGGCGGGCGCGCGGGGGCCCCCCTGCCACCGGGGTCCGAGCAGGCGGGGCCCGGGCGGGCACGTCCTGCTACAGGCGGGCTTGGGAGGCACCATAGAGCGCGGTAACAACCGAACAAAAAAAACACAAACCATACAAGTACCTCGCTTCGAACGATCCCCGCCGAAACCCTCGGCGCTTGGCCCCGACGGCGCGCGCGCCCACTGGAAGGAAATGCGCGCAGCACCCAGCGGCGCCCCCCGCCCCTCCTTCACCCCCCCGCGGGCTCAGTGCGACTTGACAAGGCCTAGCGCGCCTGCGAGCCCTCGGCACAGCACTGCATGAAACAGAAGCCCAGGGGGGGGGGCTGCCGCGCAGCTAAACTCGCCGGCATCAAAACAAAAGGGCTCTAGACGCGCGTCCGTCCCGGGGCTCGAGCAACACCTCTGGAACCAGGAAACACCGACAGATTTCCCCGAACCTCGGACCAACACAATAGCGGGGGGTCCCCGCCCCCCTCGAGCCGACCCCGGCGACCCGAACCTCGGAGTTGGGGGCGGCCATGCGTTGAGTGGGCCCCCAGCAAATCGGTCAAGGGCGGGGGAAAGGAAACTGCGTTCAAAATCTGCCCCTGGACCCCTCCCAGAGCCCCTCCGACACAGTTTTTCGCCCCGAAGAGGAGGAAGAAGATGGGGAGGTGGAGAAGCGCGACGATGATTGCGGGGCGAAGCTGTACAGAAAAAAAAGGCCCTTCCAATGAAAGCACCTCGGCACGGCTGATGTGCAGGGCGGGCGAGAAACAAGAAGACGCTGTGCAGTGGTAGCTGGCGTAAACGTAATAGTGTGCTATGTTATGTTCGATTCGAGCCTGTCCCAATGTCGATATGCTCTTCTGTCGTGATATGATATATATATATATATATATATGCAATAATGTGTCGTGTGATGGCCTGCTCTGCCGTGATACTCCTCCCCACTACCGCCTTCGTTGTATTCAAAAGCGTTGAACAGTATTCCATGGAGTAACTCTCTAATATGTTATGCTCTATTTTGTCCAGTTGAGTTCTCGACGGGCCGGCGTGACGTCGTGACGCCTGGGCGACACCGTCGAATTTTGGCTACTGCATACGCGATGTTGTGCTAAAGTGTGTGTGTGTGTGCGTGCGTATGGTAGGGTTCTGGCCCGATGTAAAATGTGATGCTGTGTTCTCTGATGTTATGATATCGGCGGGCCGGCGTGACGTCGTGACGCCTGTCACGCTAGAGACATCGTCGTATCGCTCATTGATATGACTCTTGATTCCTGTGGCGACGCTGACGAAAATACGCATACACTGTATTATGTTACGATATCCCTCTGCCCTTCCGTTATCTAATTCATGAAACTCTTTGCTCTGTCATGCACGCTTCTGTCTCAATATGTTTTGGCGCGCTATGTTTTATTATGCCGTTCGGCACCATACTAGGGCATGAGATGTTATCCCAACTTATGTTAAAATATGAAAATGTTCCGTGATGGTGTTGCCGGCTCGGCTCAAGATAGTAAAGTGTGATATGATATGTTAGTATGTTTTGCTGTCCCGTTCTGTCGTGGTACTCCTCTCCTCGACT